TTGGTCTGAGGACTGTGGTCTAGAATATATATAGCAAGATGTCCTCAGGAAGAGCCAACCTTTAAGTTTAATATATCTCTTGCTGTGTTCATACAAAATGACCAGAAATGTTATAAGAAGTAAATTTACTATGATTGTTTAAATGGAATACTGGATGAGAAAAGGATAAAGCAAAACACCCTGGATGGAATCCCGCCCTTGAGTGGATCTCCTAGTAATCTGGATTTCTGAAGCCTCAGATGAGATTTTGTCCTTGAGTTAATCTCCTAAAGCAGTGGCTTTACCTCTGTTTGTTGTTATGACAATGTTCAACCCCATAAATGTGTACCCCACTCTTTATGATATATAAGTGTATATATATGTATATATATATATATATATATATATATATATATGCTGTAGTCAGATGCGTTATCCATTGGAGCTGGAGCGATAGCACAGTGGTAGGGGATTTGCCTTGCAAACAGCCAGCCCAGCCGAGCTGGGTTCGTTTCCTCCGCCCCTCTCGGTTAGCCCGGCAAGCTACTGAGAATATCTTGCCCCCATGGCAAAGCCTGGCAAGCTACCTGTGATGTATTGAATATGCCAAACACAGTAACAAGAAGTCTCAAAATGGAGACATTACTGGGCCCACTCAAGCAAATCAGTGAACAATGGGGGGGACAGTGCTTCAGTGCTATATATGCTGTAAGGGGAAAGAGGGGAGGATAAGAACTGAGACTTCAGAGATTTTGGGACTTTGAGGTCTTTGAGACCTAGAGGGTCTGTAAGGACTAAAAGTAGGACTAGATTATGATGATGACTGGAAGAAGAGGACTATGAGACTAAGTCGAGACAAAGAGGAAAATGTAAGGAGGTAGAGGACTTTGAAGTCTACCAAGAGACTAGGATGATGGAACTATGATGACAGGGTCTATGACCAAAATACGACTACAATTGCATCTTAAGGAGAGAAATAAACTGGGGAGGAGAGAGAAATAAACTGACTACCAACCAGCCTGGGGCCCTGTTTCTGTTTCCCTGGTCTTTCATCCGTCCACCACTGTGGGCCGGTCAGTGGAATGCTTCTTGGCCACCAATCACTTGAGTCTGCCTTGCGCCCATGCCTTTTTTCCTGGAAACTTACAGGATACAACCCTTTAAAATGAATTTTTATTATATTATTTATTATATTTTTAAAATGAAAATTAAATTTAATTTCCCATTTATGCTACATTTGTTTTATTCACAAATATATATGGACACATGTGCATATATTGAAACAATCACTGTCACTGTCCTTCTATTGGTCATCAATTTGCTCGAGTGGGTTCTAGTAACATCTCCATTGTGAGACTTATTGTTACTATGTTTGGCATATTGAATACGCCATGGTGAGCTTACCAGGCTCTGCCATGCTATTCAAATATATTCAAATATTTAAATCATATGTGAACCTATATTCAAATATTCACATATATTCACATATATGTTCAAACTATGCATATAGTTTTTTTTTTTTTAGGAGGACACACCTGGTGGTGCTCAGGGCTTGCTCCTAGCTCTGTTCTCTGGGATCACTTCTGGTAGTCCTTGAGGGACCATATGGGGTAACAGGTTGTTTGCCATGAAGACAATACAGCTTACCCACTGTACTATCACTCCAGTCTCTCACACAGTATCATTAAATTGCACTTCACCTTCAGTAAATATCTTTTTAATTCTAAAATACATGCCAAATTTCCACTTTCATTTACTTAACTTTAGATACAATATCCTAAGATGTTATATTTATATTTATATTCTAATATTTTGTTTCCGCTATTAAGCTCCATTTTTGTTTATTTTAGAACATTCTCATAATGGAGACATCCAAGTTCATACATGGTATCTACAAGTTTTTCCTCTAATTTAGTTATGAAACAAGAAACTATATCCTTACTTTTTCTGAGAAGCATGTAATATCTATGAGCATAAAAAAAAAGAAGCCCTTAAAATACTATATTGACAATTTTTCAAGTAAATATACATTTATAGGTAAAAGGTAAAGGTAAAGGCCCTCCCGTTGATCATCGATTTGCTCCAGCGGGCCCAGTAACGTCTCCATTGGAGACTTTGTTGTTATTGTGTCTGGCATATCGTTTATATAAAAGTAAATTCATATTTACATTAAATCCATTGCTCTAAATCAGAACCTATTTTATTTTTTTTAAATATATTCCCTTTATTTATGAATATATTCCATCTTTAGAAAATAACAGATAAACTTTGGCTTTATTATTGTAAAGATAAAATATCTTTATCACAACTGTTTGTTTCAAACCCATTTTGAGAAATAAGAGGGTATCACTATGAAATAATTATCAAGTAAACTTGTAATTTTGCAGAAATGCTTGAGAAAATCCAAAGGATATGCATTACAGGAGCAAATTTTGCCAATCTAATACAAGTGTGTCAATTCAATATTTGCATGTCTCACTTTTCCTTTGATTTATTTATTATTAAATCACCATGAGATACAGTTACAAAGCTGTTCATAATCAGCTTCAGCCACACAATGCTCCAACACCCATCCCTCTACCTGTATGCATTTCCCACCACTATTGTTTCTCTCCCACCTTGAAGGCTATCCTGTTTGTTCCTTAACCTAATTTCAGCACTCAGTTCTTATTGAGAGTGATCATTTCCCACTATCATTGTTATGGTGGTTCCTTCTCCATTCCTTTTAAACAACATATTCGGAAATCTTACTCGGGGAGACAAATGTTCTAATTTTTTGGTATTGCAATAGATTTTCAACATATGGATAATTAGATTCTAATAAAGCATTGTACTAAGATCACAAATAAGAAAATTAGTGAAACTGGGCCCACTCCTGCCCTTTATGCTGGTGGTGTAGACCTGGTGGTTCAGTGCGTAGGCTTTCCAAAATGAAGCTGCTCAGGTTTAGTGGTGCTGAGGCCCACGAGGGCAACAGAAGGGAGTATTTTAGGGTGCTGAGAAAGGAGAGGGCATATAGCGCATGGTTCATGCAGTGTCAGTGATCCAACCAAGGCACTAGCTCAGACAATGCATGTTCTCTAGGCTTTTGAACTATGTCCCTGGTCCCACCAAATTGATTTCAAATGAAAGATTTCCTTTCCTGACCTGTAATTCCCAAAAAAACAATACTTGATACTATACTATGTGTGAATTTCTGTTTATGTGTGTGCGCTGGAGTTTTTTTTTTTTTCAACTAGAAACAGAAGACTGAAGTGGAAATTTTGAAACCCAGAGTACTGCACTGTCCCCTGAGCAACTTGATGGCATTCAAGATGTTATGCCATTAAATGGAGTGTGGTATTGCTGGGTCAAATGGAAGCTCAATTTCTAGTTGTTTGAAATAGATGGAATGAAAAACTCCATGGGTGCAAAGTCCCACTTAGTGTTATAGATTAGAAAAAATCCTCTCCAGTATTGTCAATCAATGGTGCTGACAACAGTAAAACTAGCTGGGTAGTTAATATTGATGCAGGCACTGCCATCATTCTGTAATTCCTTATTCTGACCTCATGCCCTGGTAGAATATTGGTGCCTTACAGATAAAGGGTGGAGGGCTACATCCTCTCACCTTAATGGGAATAGAGTGTAGATGATTAAACAACACACCCCTGACGGTTTATATATCATGCAATTTTTAATATAAATTTTATGTACCATTAATTTGGGACTGGAGTGATAGCACAGAGGGTAGGGCATTTGTTGTGCACATGGCTGATTCAGGTCCAATTCCTCTGTCCCTCTCAGAGAGCCTGGCAAGCTACTGAGAGTATCCAGCCCGCATGGCAGAGCCTGGCAAGCTACGCATGGCAAATTTGATATGCCAAAAACAGTAACAACAAGTCTCGCTTCATGTTCCTGGAGCAAGCATATGCCATTGGGCTACACTAGCACGCGGCAGGGACAAATGGAGACATTACTGCTGCCTGCTCAAGCAAATTGATGAACAATGGGATGACAGTGCTACAGTGCTACCATTAATTTGAACTATTTAATATTAACATAATTAAAAACATTTTTGACTATTTGTGTTTCTAGGAATTGAGTGCTTCACACAAACAAGGCAGGTGCTTTACCACTGCAATGAGCTCTATCTCTAGCCATTATCTTCATAGTGTTTTAAAATTATTTTTCTGGCACTGAAGAGATATTACAGAGGCTAAGTTATTTGCCTTGCAAGTAGCTAACTCTGGTTTAATCCCAAGCACCACATGGTTGCCTGAGCATAGTGGATTCGATGACCAGGGCTGAGAAATGCAGGTGGTGTCTTCTCCAGACAACTGACCCTAACTTATAATAAAAGAAATTAAATTAAGTGTTTATTTATAAAAATAGATATTTGTATGCATGAGTATAGATTTTTTTAGAAAGGACACAATAAAAATAATATTGCTGAATGATTATTTTTTACAGAAAGTGACTGTTACTTATATTCAGACTATTCACTCACATTAAAGCTTTTCCTCGTGAAGATTATAATTTATAATTGGTCTACTGTATTATCAGAAATCCTCTTTATACTCTTTCTTCTAGCATTTCTCTATAGTTATGAATTTATTCATTTTCTAAGAAGCTGCACTTTTCATTTGGTGGGAATTAGAAAGTAATGGGTTATAGAGATGTTTACTTAGTGGAGCCCTAAACTCAAAGTTTCCATAATATTTCTCAAAAAGAAGCTGCTTCTAATTTTTTTTTATAACTAAAGAACATTTATTTGTTTTTCACTAAGATTTTATCTTGAGGACATAACTGTGTCATCACCCACCCCCCCACCCGATCCTGAAGAAAGGTTAGTATAGTGAGTACTATTAAAGTGGAAAAAAATAGTTGGAAGGGCTGAAACCAACAATAACTGACAAAAAACAACCTCCATCCAAAACATCGTAAAAATGTTTTAAGTAAAAAAAAAAATGGGGGGGAGGGGATAGGGAGAGGGAGGAGGCAAGGGGGGGTTTCAGAATGAACAAGATCGTCATTATTTCATTCAATACATTCAACCCTGGCTAGATTGTACCAAATGGAAACTGGATTATTAGAATACAAAACATCCACTAGAGTTTGCTGTACACACCTGTATTCCAAGCCTACCCCCAGCCCCCTAATGCTTCCTGCTCAATTATTTCCCGGCCTGTTGGGCCTGCCGACGAAGCAGCACATAGATCTTCTCTTTAATCCAGTCTTTGTTGTAAGGCTGGTATGTCTGGGTATAAACTCGGTAAACGAGGCAGCTGAGGTCTGCCAGATCATCAGTAAAATCAAACAACTGACTGATATCATATGTGATAGATGGGCTGTTGGGGTTCATTCTCTTCAGATGTTCTTCGTACATTTTACAAACACCTTCCATGCATTCATTCACAGATTCATAGTCAGCATAAGTTCTGCCTTCTGGCCTCTTGTTGGACTGGACTAGTAAAATGATGTGAGTGAGACATGGCGCCAAACACTTTCGGTGCAACAACCCCCGGCCGATACCTCCGCCGCACACGAGCTGAGAAGCAACGCCGCCAACAGCCTCTAATATTTTTTTTAAGCCTTGAAAACTTCAGTCTTTTAATAAATGATGTAACACAAAGCAGAGAGATACTAGTTTTGAGAGAAAAAATGCAGGGAAGTGTTGTTTCTATAAAAGATTAGCATAAGCTTGTTTCCTTTATAGCTCTGTTCTGCTAGCTAACACATCCAGAAGAAGCGTAATATAGGTTTAACAATTTATTTGAAATACTTTCAAAAATATTTTTAAAAATATGGCACATTGGTTATTTTATGAAGTATAACAAAATCATTTGTAGCTAAATATGTATGATGAATACAGTAACATAAATGATAAATTTCAGGGAAAGTTATTTTGAAACAGAAATTCAAATGCTTGATCCTTTGGTTTCTCAATTAACTGCAAAGATTCTAATTTACTGCTTTTTCCTATTTTACATTTTTTTATTATATAGACAAATATACTTCTCTAAGATTTCATGTTTTACATTTCTCATTTCCTGACAAGTGAGGGAATCATTAAAGCGATCTGTGGTCACTTGCTGGTGAGATTTTCTTCCTCGTTAAGGCTTTTAAACACATATTATAGGTTTTGTGAACACTCGTTTATTATCCTTACCTACTTAATTTTCTTTTAGCTTTTTCTCCATTGTACCAAGGAACACATTGTCAATAAAATAGAGCCATATTTTTCTTCTTATCAGGTCAGTGAGATAACCCCAATATGAGTTTGATTTGATACTACTATGTGTGATACTGAAAGGGAATATTAACTATTGTCCAGAGGCAAGTGGGGAGTCTGACAAATTTTAAAAAAAGAGGAAATTCTCTTTTTTTAATACAGTAAAATAATTCAGGCTGAGATAAACATGGGATTTGTTATTAAATAGCTAAAACAACGTAAAAAAAGCAAGAGGTGAGGCATTTGCAAAGGGTGCTTCCAGAACTAGACTGGGGTCCCAGAACTAATAAAAGCAGCATTTTTTAAGCAAGTGTTATTGAAAACAATAAAATTGAGGAAACAAACTGGATACTATTTGCTTGAATAAATTTGAGATGTTGTTATGTAGCTACTTTTCCTTATAAACTCTTTTATTTATATTACACGGTTGATTGGGGAAACATTGAGAAAATCAGCCTGGTGCACATCAGCAAACTACCATTCATTTTATGATTTCACTCAGCCTACTGAACAACAAATCAATGATGGCTGTGATGATATTCTACTTAGAAGACTTTCACAACAAAGTGTGTCAGGGAAGTGAATACTGATTTTCTAGTATTCATTAAATTTCTCACCTACTAAATAACAGCAATGCAATCAGTATAATTGACCTCAATTATGGCGTCTGTAGTCTGGATAGACGGTAACATGATACTACTAGCAAAGGACCAGTTTTATAAAATGGTTACATAAAGGCCCTGGGAAATATCTCAGCAGTCCTGCGGGAATGCTTCACATGATCAGAGACCCAGAGTTGAGCCCTAGAACCACATAACATCAGAATTACTCTGGTTTTCTTGTTCAGCAACACTGCTGGTGCCAAGCTGTGCTGCAATGCTACTTTGAACAAGGAACCAACAGGTTGGCATTTCATTATCAGAGCAATTGAGGCCTCCTGAATACTTTGACTACTACTGGAAGCCTCCTCCCAAAGGAACACATGATGTAAGTGAAAAATATGATATATATGATATATACACACATATATATGATATAGGATATATAAATATGCATATATATACAAGTGTCAAATAATATACATATATAATTGTTTCCATATGTACATATATAGAAGTTACAATTATTTCCCCATATATGTAACATAAGGGGAAATACATATGTATGTGTGTATGTATACGTGTATGTATATATACATATATATATATATATATACCATTGAAACTCACTTCTAAGGGCAATGTTAAAAAGAGGCATTGTAAAAGTTTTTCTGTTTCTCCATTGGAATGATGAAATGAGATAGTAGCACTTATTCTGTAGGCAGTCTTCTTTGCACAGAGAAACGAGGATTACTAATATATATAAGGCAGAGAAGAGACAAGATAAACACTCCGCTTCTTGATGATATATGGTAGAGACTATGCTGAAGCAAGAGATCCAAGAAGCTGGGTCTTATCTTTGCCTCTCTTAGTTAATACCTTTCTTTATGTCTCTATCTCTGAAAGTTGGGTTTCTTGATTTTAAGGAAAGTAACTTACTGATATAATTGTAGCTGAAAGTTTGTATAAGTTCCTATCAAGGCCTTAACTTTTTCTCTCTACTAAGTAGTTTTTTTGTTCAAAGATGAAATTTTCCCAATAACCTAAAAATTGGGATTATTAGTTAATAAAATCATTAATTCCCTTTCTGGCTGATTAATTATAAAACCTATTTGGAACATGTAAAATAAGTATCTCTTAGGGGCCAGGAAATTTGCATAAATTTTTGTATATATGTTGCAATACGGAACTCCATACATTTTTCAAATATAGGCTCACTTCAAAGAGCCTTATTTTAAAAGCAACATAACTTCAAAAGAAAAGCTGAAAATCCAAGACTAAATCTGTTTTAAAATCAATCTGTCAAGAAAGAACTCAGTTTTTCCAACTGTCTGCTGTATTAGTCTGTTCCAATGTTGAACAATTTTCTTGTTGAATGCTACCTTTAATGCATTTTGAAGTCATTTATTTGGCTACGATTATATAACATGTTTTATAGCTTAGATAGTAATCTAAAAGAACACCTTATGCCCCCATGCTGGGTAAATGAGTGAAAATAAAAGCATACAATCAGTTTCACCAGTAATTTAATCCATCAGTCCTTTCATAGAGTAACAATGAAAATAAAAACCATAACTCTACTAACAGAAGCTTTTGTTGGAAACTGTAGTTTTCAATATCAGAGTTTATACTGTAGAAAAACTGTTTCTTGTTGCTAATGTTCAACTTAGTTTAGCTACACATTCAATGTCTCTCCTTTTGTGTGTGTGTGTGTGTGTGTGTGTGTGTGTGTATGATTCTATAACAAAACTGGAGATAAATAGATGTCTGTTTCTCTCATGATGCTTTACTGACATACTCTTTTTTATTTATTTATTTTTATTGAATTACTGGAGATTGTCTGATTCGGGTTGTTAGGCATTCAAATGAATCAATGCTCATGTCCAAGTAAGTGTTGACAAGGACACTGACACCTCTATTGTCGCATGTTCTGAGGAACATTTCTCCAGTGTCGAAAAAGGCATGATGTGATCAATGCTTTCCCATCTAGTTCAGACCAATGATGTCGTACTTGATCTTCTACACTTGCACCATCAGGTCCTCAATGGATGCTTCCAATACAGGAATAGGTGTGTTGAAAGTATAGTCATATTAGTCCTTCTTTGTTTTGGCAGCCTAGTTCGGCCATAAGATCTTATCAACCTCTCCTTTCTCATTCTTCTTAATGTTGCAGTATTGAGGGCTCTTTCAGGGTCAGGGGAATGAGGCCCATTGTTTTTACTGTTATTGACATATCGAATTTGCCATGGAAATCAGATGGACCGGACATGTAATGCAATTTAGAGATGACCACTGGACTAGAGCTGTTAACAACTGGATTCCACAGGACGTCAAAAGAACGCGTGGCCACGCACCTATGAGATGGTCAGACTTCTTCGTCAAAACCCTGAACATATGGTTTGAGGCTCATCGTGTTCTTAGAGTGAACAGATCTCATTGGGATACACAAGCACGTGATAGGGACAAATGGAAGAATTACTGGTTCCCGCTCAAGCAAATCAATGATCAACGGGATGACAAGTGATACAAGTAATGCACTGTGATGTATATTTACAAAGCTAATTATGATTGAGTTTCAGTCATATAGTGACCCATATTTCCAACAGTGTTCATTTCCCACCACCAATGATCCCAGTTAATACCCCCTGCCACCCCTCCTCCCCCAGCTTTCTCTATGGCTCTATAGGGCAGGCACATTCTTTCTCTCTCTCTCTCCCTTTCTCCCTCTCTCTGTCTCTCTGTCTCTTTCCTTTTGGGCACTATGGTTTACAATACAGATACTGAGAGGTTATCATGTTTGTTCCTTTACCTGTTTTCAGCACTCCATTCTTATTCAGAGTGATCATTTACAACTATCTTTGCAGACTGGCATTCTTCTTTTGGTCCCACTCTACTCAATAAGCAGAAAATTTCCTCTGTCAATTTTCTGGAGTGCTATTACTACTAGAAAGACAGAAAGTTTCTGATAGTAATTAGTGATAGAAATATCATGCCTAAATATTTTGCTAAATTTATTTACAACATTTATTTTTACTAAATTTCAACCATATACACCTATGGACACTTTTAATTATTTGTGGAAAGTCAAACTATCTTTTTTGTCTCATCCACATTTTATGGCCAATATGCCAATCAAAATCTTACATTCTGAATCCTTTAACAGGATCTAGTTGCATGAAGATTACATTTGAGAGTGATTCATAGAGACATTAACAAACATGGAAAAGGAGGACAGCTAGATTTTAATTTAACTTTGCAAATTAGAAAGTCTGTAAAAACAATCATGTTTGGCCTTTCTGTTAATTCTGGGCTACTTTTTGGTACAAAAACCATTATTTATTTTAAAGTAAAAAAGCAACTGAAGTACTTCATTTCACAGAATATAATAGGAACCAATAAAAATAGTTTTATTTTCAAAATAATTTATTGAGGTAAAATTAATTTACAAGAATGAAAAACATCATTTAGGAAACAAAGTTATCACACACCACCCATCAGAACCAATATCCCTTTGCCATTGTGTTTAAGACTTTACCTCCTCTCTCTGCTCTTAGATCATCATAGATCTGTTGTGAGTCTGTTCATTTGTTTTCACTGAACATTATCCATTCCTTTGTTTTACTTCTTTACTGTGAGTAAGGGCTGTAGCGATAGCACAGTGGGTAGAGTGTTTTCCTTGTGTGCGGACAACCCAGGTTTGATTCCTCCACCCCTCTCTGAGAGCCCGGCAAGCTACCGAGAGT